TGGTCTCAATCCGGAACGAGAGTTTCGGGCGGCTCGTTCAGAACCTGGACGACCGTTCCAGACCATTCTGGAAGGTTGCCAAGGTGCTGAAGTCTCACCCCAAGCCCATTCCACCACTTAGAGTCAATGACGAACGGCTTATCACCAACGAAGAGAAGGCCAATGCAATTGGGGAGCACATTGCCCAGTCGCATTTGCTTGGCTCTACAATCCCAAGTCCACTCGAGAACCAGGTTGTGCAGTGCGTCCAGACGTTAGATGCCTCCCCTTGTGCCGTCCCTCCAGAAGAACGGATTACAGAGGAACAAATTTGCTCAGCGCTGAAACACAGTACGAACATGAAGGCTCCCGGGTTTGACGGAATATTCAACCTAGAGTTGAAAAATCTCAGCGCGAGGGTGCACTCGCTGCTGGCTGCCATCCTCAACAGATGCTTGGAGCTGCACTACTTTCCAAGCATCTGGAAGGTGGCAAAAATCATCCCGATCCGCAAACCTGGGAAAGACCCTTCACTACCGTCAAGCTACAGACCGATTAGCCTGCTCTCAGCGCTGAGCAAGCTGTTCGAAAAATTGATCCTCAGCCGACTAAACAAGTTTGTGGAGGAACATGACATTCTTCTTCCGGAACAGTTCGGGTTCCGTAAGGGGCATTCCACCAATCATCAGCTAGTGCGGGTGATGAATAACATCCGGAGTAACAAAGCTGTATCCAAGTCCACAGCCATGGCCTTGTTAGACGTCGAAAAGGCGTTTGACAATGTCTGGCACGACGGACTTATATACAAGCTTTGTAACTCCAACTTTCCACCATACCTTGTGAAAATCACCCGTAACTATCTCCAGCAAAGGTCGTTCAGGGTGTCGTTGAATAGTTCCCTTTCGGGACAATTTCCGATCCCAGCAGGTGTTCCGCAAGGGAGTCTGCTGGGACCACTGCTTTACAGCATCTACACGTCGGACATCCCTCCTCTAGGAGACGGTTGCGTGTTCTTTCTGTTTGCAGATGACACCGCGATAGCCGTCAAGGGTAGGATGCCTCGTGAAATTACGAACAAGCTCCAACGATGCCTTGACACCTTTACTGATTATGCCACCACGTGGAAAATCAAAATCAACGCCTCGAAAACCCAAGCGATCATGTTCCTTCACAGACAATCATTAAAACTTAAACCGTCTCCCTCCTGTACCGTAATAATGGATGGTACAAGGGTCGAGTGGTCCACTGATGTTACTTATCTCGGGATGTTGTTCGATGAGAAGCTCCTGTTCCGCTCGCACATAGAGAAAACCCTAGTTAAGTGCTCCGCCTTGGTTAGGTGTTTGTATCCGCTCATTTGCCGCAGATCCCGCCTCTCAAGGCAAAACAAACTGGCTGTTTACAAACAGATCATAGCCCCCGCGATCTTCTATGCCGCCCCGGTGTGGGAATCGTGCGCTCAGACCCACAGGAACAAAATCCAGGTTGCACAGAATAGAGTGTTGAGGATGATCCTAGATCGTCCATTCGACACAAGAATAGCAGACCTCCATCAAGAGGCAGAAATTCCCAAAGTAGATTCCAAAATTGATGATATGACAACTAAATTTATTCAAAAATGCAATCTTTCTGAACATGCTTTAATAAGCAATTTGTACATAGTAGGTTAAGTGTATATAGTAGAGTAGGTTAGTTTTAAGCTGTAAATAGTAGTATTAAGTAGTTTCTCTTCAAATTCTAAAAACAAAACAAACCAATCCCACCAAGGTGGTCGACCGTGTACTAAGTCTAGGACTAATTCTGTAAAACAAATTTTGAATTTTGCCCATACCTAAAGATGAAGAAAGCAATTAAATCACTTAGTAAAAATTTATATGGTAATCGTCCAAGTTAAACTAAAATAAAGATCATTTAAACTAACTAACTAGCTAGACGTTGAGAAAGCGTTTGATAATGTCTGGCACAATTGGCTTGTATACAAGCTTTGTAACTTCAACTTTCCTTTGCATCTTGTTAAAATCACCCGTAACTACCTTCAGCAAAGGTCGTTCAGGGTATCGTTGAATGGTTGCAATTCAAGCACATTTTCCATCCCAGCAGGTGTTCCGCAAGGAAGTCTGTTGGGCCCTTTGCTATACAGCATCTACACTTCCGACATTCCTCCCTTGGGTAACGGTTGCGTGTTATTTCTGTTCGCAGATGATACTGCTTTTACCGTCAAGGGAAGGATGCCTCGTGAAATAACAAACAAGCTTCAACGATGCCTTGACGCCTTTGCTGATTATGCCACCACGTGGAAAATCAAAATCAATGCTTCCAAAACCCAAACAATAATGTTCCTCCATCGGCAATCTTCCAAACTAAAACCAGCTCCCTCTTGTACTGTAATCATGGATGGCACAAGGGTTGAGTGGTCCGCCGAAGTAACCTATCTCGGGATGTTGTTTGACGAAAAGCTCCTATTCCGCTCGCATGTGGAGAAAACCGTAATCAAGTGTTCCACCTTGGTTAGGTCTCTGTATCCGCTGATTTGTCGTAGATCCCGCCTCTCAAGGGTGAACAAACTGGCTGTCTACAAACAAATCATAGCACCTGCGATCCTCTACGCAGCTCCGGTGTGGGAATCATGTGCTCAGACTCACAGGAACAAAATCCAGGTTGCTCAGAACAGAGTGCTTAGGATGATCCTTGATCGTCCCTTTGACACAAGAATTTCAGACCTCCACCAAGAGGCGAACATTCCAAAATTAGATTTCAAAATTGATGACATTAAGACTAGGTTTATGCAGAAATGCATTACATCAGAACATGCTTTGATAAGCAATTTGTATATAGTAGGTTAGGTGTATATAGTAGTTACAGGTTAATTGTTGTTGTAAATAGTAGTTATAAGTAGTCTCCTCTTTCAAATTCAAAACAAACCAATCCCACCAAGGTGGTCATACTCTAATAACAGGCCTGATAGGACTAGGAACTGTAAATAATAATTAAAAATTTCAAATGTACTAAAGTTGAAAAGACGCATCTGTGTCACTTGATAATCCATACATGTAAACCAAACAAACACAAGAAATAAAGATCATTTGAATTGAAAAAAAAAATTGAATTGAATTGCTTTTGCTCATTGTCACTTCGGACGGCGTGGCACTTGGTCCTGCAGTAAGCAGGACCAAATCAGCGGCTAAAGGTGGATCGCGGCGTGACCACAATGAGGAAAAGTAATATATGTAAACCCCCTCCGCCTTTCACATTAACCCCTCCCCCTCCCCCCTTCACAACAATCTCTCCTACCCCCCCCCCCCACCCCATTCATCAACCTTTCCTACCCCTCCCCCCATCAACAACCTCTCCTACCACCCCCCTCAACAATAACCCGAAAAAGACGTAGACTATGACGATCTCTTTTTTCCGGGAAATATATTTTAAACAAATCACAATCATTAGTAAAAACAGAACTTTTTCCCTTAATTTCTTCCCACACCAAAACTTTCAAACTTTAACAAAAATTGCTTGAAAGACATATTCAATTATATTAAGTTGGTGAATTACACACAACTGACGGTAAAACATAACTGGTACCTCTATATATGCAATTATATTAACATCCAAAGTCCATCCTTTTTTACATATTCTGCACAAAAGAAACGTTCTGCCCCGCCCCCATTCATAATAAAATGGCGAGAAATCCTGTCAGTTGTGGTGCTTAGAAAGTATGTTTTGTGCAGAATATGAACGGATGTTAACCTAAATGCACAGACAAACAGACATAACACATTGAATATTCCTCACTTTAAAACAACGTCGCTAAAACATTACCGCCATCTGTTGAGTACACTGTGGTGGGTAGTACGCTGAACAGATGGCGGTAGTGTGTAAACGTCAAACGCAAGGGAACTGACTATGCGCGCCACAAGTGGCGGTACTACCAACCACGATACGTTTAAATTGACCGTTACATGCTTGTTCGATGAACTACTTGCGAGAGCTAACGGCGCCGGTGGTGTAGTGGTAAGCGTGATTACCTCTCACCCCAGCAGGCCTGGGTTCAATCCCAGTCGGCGCCGCCGGGATGTTCTGAGGCATAACATCTCTGATCACGCCTTCCTTCGGATGGGAAGTAAAGCCGTTGGTCCCCGGTTCATGAGTTGATGGGTCGATAGGTAGGGTCCAGGTGTGGGAGCTACCTTCCTGGCACGTCGGTAGCATTGGTGCTCAGCACGGAAAACAAGACCGACGGAAAAAAAAAAAAAAAAAAAACTACTTGCGAGAGTTATGTCTGTTTATCTGTGCTAAATGCATATATCCTGCATCATAGATAGAGCTAGACAGATAGGTTCTACGTCATACTGCGGTCGTGTCTAGGACACAACCCTTTAATTTTTTTACAGGAGTTAGTATTTTTACAGGATTTTTGGATTACTTTACGAGTACTTTAGTTAACTGTTCAAAGTCCCAGATTTTTTATAACGGAATCATGAACAAAAAACCAAAGACCACTATGACCAACGCGATCGGTCTGAAGGGATCTTTACATAGAAATTGTTTTAAGGTGATACGATCCAGAACCTCGGGCTCTGGTTCCACTTCGCTTTTTCCAGGAGGCCATTATCTGCTACCGGAAAACATACAATAACAAAACTGTGATGATAATTTAGTGCCTCAAATCGCAATAGTGCCCGAGATTAACTCCCTAGAAAACGCAGTGATTAACTCCCCGAAGTGGCAGTGTGTTGTGCGAGTCAGAAGGAAACAGCCCAGTGGCAGGCGCGTAGGCAACATGTTATACAGTGACAACGGGCCCAGAACAGCAAAATAAATTATTTTAGCCCGGGACATGCTGCCTACTGTCAAACGCTGCTGTTGGTATAGGCCTTGTCACTGGCCTGGAAGGAAAGGAAACGGTTTATCACAGAAAATAAGTAGAGTACTATGACCGCTTACACCACTGCCCCGAATTCATTTGTTTAGACAATTTTTCTCAACCACAATAAAAATAGAAAACACAGCTGCTATTGTAATGTATGTATGTTTATTTTCTTATTTCAAGTAAAACAGAAAATTAAACCAATGCAAATGAGAGAACAAATAAGTGTAGGATTCGAAACGAACCTCTCGTTTCTACTGTCTCGGTTGTTTTTTTTTCTCAGAGACTTAGTTTGAAATGTCTTACCCTCATCATGAATTTCAAATGCTGTACGAAACAACGCCTTCAAACATTTCTTACGGGCTATTTTCTGTTTTTTTATTACTATCCCTCCTTATGTCTTAAATAAAATTACACACTTCAATGGTTATTTCTGACTGCTTGGCCTTTTCTTATCGAACTGTCTCGAGCTTTATGAACAGAGGCTCACACCAAAAGGGAAGCTTTCAATACGGATTTCCCCATTACTTTTTCTCTTCCTCTTCCTTCTCGTCCTTGTCTTCGGTCAAACCAGGCATCGCTTCGTCGTCTGAATCCTCCTGATCGTCATCGAGATCATCGAAGGACAGTTTGCTATCGCTCTTCATTCGGAGCATATCTTCCAGCGCCATCTGGTTGTCACCCTCGTCTGCAAACAAAGTACATGTTTATATTTATAGAGTATTTTTAGAATTAATTAACCGTTATGTTGCTTTAGCGACCGCAAGAGGTTTAACTGTTTTAAATATTTGTATCCCAACACAAAAACATATTTATTACTATTTTTGCAGTACCTTCGGCAATTTCGAACGAATTTCGGATATTTTTGTCTTGTTGAAGAGTATAAGTGTGTGCAAAAAGTGTAATTACATTATCGGTACAACAGAATGATCGAAATTGAAGGTTTTCGCTGGCGTTGATTTCATCTGTTTTCCGCATCTTTTTTTAATTGTACCAAATCAAAAAAATATTGGTTTTCACGTGTGGATATATGTAAATTAAGATCTATCACGTTTTAAGAAGTTTTTTTAGTAGTATTGTAATTAACGTGAAAAATCTGGGACAAGAATTTGTTTCGAGTAGCTGTGTTGCTGTTGTGTCGCGTTGGTCGCTTTTTTATTTCGCATATTTTTGGTGCTTGCCTGCCGCCAAAGAAGAGTTTGACCGGGTATTTTTTTTCTTTCTTTTCTTGGTGCTGGCGTTCTGCCTTCCGGAGGATGCACGCGAATGAGGTGTCAGACAAAAATTCGGTGCAAATGAAAAACTTCGCATGTGATTCAAAATGTCGTGTTAGGTTGTAAAAACAACGCGGAAATTTTTTTTCGATTACCGCGAGTGAACAAGCCGGTGCTTTTTCGGAGGCAGAATTTGGTGAGATCCACCTGAATTATAATCAATCATAAATGCATATTTCCATATGTTAGTAAATACGCGCCAGATTTCGAAACATCACATTTCGAAATCTGGAAGTGTGTTTGCATTACCATTATTCATATGATAACGGTAGTGTTTACATGCGGGGCTTATTGTGTGTGAAAGTTACCTCGGAATGGACGTGAATTAACAGGCATTCTGAAATGGGTTGCTGAATCCGCAGTAGAGCTATCGCACTTTAACCTCATTTTTAACCGTTAAAAAGTTATTTGTGATTTACTGTGGAAAGAAAAGTTCAGAATTTCAATACTTGCAGTATGTCCCCACCAGCAAATCAAACTATCATTGAAATCTATAAATACAAATCACATACTTTGTTGCAAATCACTTGATAACATTTGTTTCGAAGATTCTAGAATTCAATAGGAGGATATATGAGCGGAGAGGGATCACACAATTTATTAGTTTCCATTTGATTGCCGTAGCAAGCAGAACCAAAAAAGAAAATCATGTCACCAAAAACCAAGCTCAAGTCGGATCTCATCACCGGTATTGCGAGGAAGCATTTGCCCAGAAACCGTTTGCCGTCATCAGGTACTTTCGATTCAAGCATGAAAACCCAACAACTTTCAATCGGAAAAAGCATTTAAGCTTCAGGAAATACCTGCATCGGTTCGGACACGCAGCGTCACCCCTCTGTCCGGAGTGTGGCAACGTCGATGAAACGCCGGGGCATGTGGTCTTCGACTGTCCAAGGTTCAAGGCAGTGCGAACGGAGATGCCCGTCCTTAACGTGGAGAATGTCGTCGTTGAAATGTGTCGAGAGGATGGCACTTGGAATGCCGTCAGCAGGGCAGTCACGCAGATTATGTCGGAGCTGCAGCGTAAATGGAGAGAAGAGCAGCGATCTAGCAACGTCAGCTAGCGCTGAGAGTACGACAAGTGCATGAGAACAGCCACCCCCCGAAGTAGTCGCTTCACAGTGGTCCCGGGGGGATCCAGGCAGAGGAGAGAGTAAGGAATGGGTTTTAGTGGAGCTGCACTAGGAAACTAGTGGATACCACACCGTGCCAACTTCACTACAGGCCAGGCTTCTTGAAACTTTCGTAAACCTTACTATATAAAAAAAAAAAAAAAAAAAAAAACACACACACACACACAACAGAATGATCGAAATGGAAAAAAAATACCAATAATCTAGTCCGACCTGTATACTGCAGTCAACTCTCGACGCATTTCGCGCCAAATCGAATCGAAGCTGGCAGCAGCCTCTCAGATTTCAATAAAATTTTCTGGATGTGTAGACTTTGACTAAATAAGCACTTTTGCATACTCAATTTTTCCAAAATTTATCTAGACTAACATTTGAGAAGGGCCAAACTTTTTCTGCCGATTTTTTTCAAAAAAATATTATGGAAAAATGACAACTCCAACAAAAATATGTTGTATTGATGACTTTTAGGAAATTGACCAAATTATAGAAAAAATACTGAAATAAATTTCATTTGAGATCTACACTGAAAAAAATCGATTTTTAAAATTTCAAGTCGATTTAAAAAAAATGGCCATGTTTGATTTGGATGAAACTTTGTCTCAAGATAGGTAATTATGTTTACTACCATCCGTCCATACATCGCGAGATGGGCACTTTTAAGGAAAAAAAGTTTTTCTTACAAAAACTTTTTCATGTCTGAACTGATTTTTTTAACGTACCATTTTTACACAAAACTAAACCAGTGAAGCTCAACATCATCCCAGAACCCAATGAAGCTCCATGTGTGATTCAATTTTGTCTAATCAGCAACTAATCACTTGGATTAATCGAGAATTCCATATGAAAAGGGCTTATGTCATTAGAAAATAATATAATTGATTATATTGTCTACTACTGAGGCAAAATCCGATACTTCTATAGCAATTTAACATTCTTAGCTAAAATTATCCATAAAGAATTAGGTATGAATAAAATTTAAATTGAGATCTTCTTTCGAATCAACAACGATTTGGGAAGTCAACGTATCGCATCATAATTCTATATGCCCTTCTGTTATTTATACCTAAACCATTAACATTATATACCTAACACTGTTAATGAGCAGGGTAGTAGACCTATGCCCGGAACAAATGATTTTGTTTCCGAGTTTAGAAATGGACGAAAAGAACACGTTCAAAAACGCCTGTTAATTATGTCCCTCAAAGAAGCGTACATGTTGATGAATATAAAGATATTAATATTGGTTTCACTGTATTTACCCAATTGCGACCAAAACATTGCATTTTGCTTGATTCTACTGGTATACATAATGTATGTATTTGTACAATTCATGAAAATGTAAAATTAATGATCAACAGTTTAAGAATTATGTCACAAGATGCAATAATAGAAAAAATGCTTTGTAATATTTCTACTAGAACAACTGATTGCTTTTTCCGTACTTGCAAAAAGTGTGCTTCCAATGAACATATTGAAGAGGAACTTACTTTGCTATTAGAATCAAATGACAAACAAGATGTTGTGATTCAACAGTGGCTGAATACTGATCGTTGTAATTTGGAAACGATTATCAAGCCTGTTGATGAATTTGTTCCGTATCTTATTCATAAATAACTCATGACTTTATTTACAAACAACTGTCATCTTTTCTAAGAAATGAAAAAGAAGGCGAAATTCTAGTAATTTGTGATTTTTGGATTTTGGATAATTCTCAAGCAACAATACATCCATTTGAAGTTTATTATAGGAAAGACAATAAACTTGAAAATGTTAGCTTCATTATCATATCAGAAGTAATGACTTACGATACAGTTGCAGTTCAGTTGTTCATCTCAAAAATGATAGATTTTATTAAACAATCGATAGATTTTTCTAAAATTACTTTTATGTCAGATGGGGCTGCATCACAATACAAAAATAAAAAAATAAACTTTGCTAGTCTGTGTAGATTTCAGTCAAAGCATGGATTAGAAGCAGAATGGCATTTTTTTGCAACGTGTCATGGAAAAGGTCCCTGTGATGCCATTGGTGGCACTCTCAAGCGAATGGCAAAGAGAGATAGTCTTGCTCGAGATTATGGAAACACCATAACAACTCCACGAGAATTATATAACTGGGCAGTTGAACAAACAGATAATAATATCACAAAACTACGTTTCGAGTACATATTCACTGTACAGTACATCGAAATGTCAGAAGAACTCGAAGAACTATATAACAGCACAAAGACAATATCTGGCACACAGAAATTCCACAGTTTTGTACCTATAACTGGTGACAAAGTAGCGGCAAAAAGGTATTCTAATTCAGAAGATGAACCAAAAATATTTAACCTGATTGGAAAAAGGAAAAAATAGCATGTACCTATGAAAATAGGTTTAAAACATTGAAAATATATAAATAAATGATATATGAAAAATCTTGTCTTTTTTCTCTCACATATTATCAAATTTTACATCAGTAGTAGACAACAGAATAAGGGAATGATATTTTTTTTTGACAAGGTCTATATGTCCAAATAATTTTATTGAACTCTGAGAGGGTGCTGCCAATTCCAAATACGATTTGGCGAGAAATGCATCATGAGCCCTTTTCATATGAAATTCTCGATTAATCAAAGTGAACTTAAGTGCTGATTAGACAAAATTGAATCGCAAATTGAGCTTCATTGGATTCTGAGATGATTTTGAGCTTCACTGGTTTAGTTTTGTGTAAAAATGGTACGTTAAAAAATCAGTTCAGACATGAAAAAGTTTTTGTAAGAAAAACTTTTTTTCCTTAAAAGTGCCCATCTCGCAATGTATGGACGATTGGTAGTAAACATAATTACCTATCTTGAGGCAAAGTTTCATCCAAATCAAACATGGCCATTTTTTTTAAATCGACTTGAAATTTTAAAAATCGATTTTTTTCAGTGTAGGTCTCAAACGAAATTTTTTTCAGTATTTTTTTTTCGATAACTTGGAACATTTCCTAAAAGTCATCCATACAACACATTTTTGTAGGAGTTGTCATTTTTCCATAATATTTTTTTGAAAAAAATCGGCAGAAAAAGTTTGGCCCTTCTCAAATGTTAGTCTAGATAAATTTTGGAAAAACTAAGTATGCAAAGTGGCATATTTAGTCAAGGTCCACACATCTAGAAAGTTTCATTGAAATCTGAGAGGGTGCTGCCAGCTCCGAATACGATTTGGCGCGAAATGCGTCTCTCCCTAACTCGATATTGAAGGAACCTATGTAGTCAGGGAGAATGATGAAGACCCATACTCATCGGAATATGTTCCGGCCATTGCTCTGGAACCAGCGGAACAAATCCAGAAACGTTCAATAACGTTCTATGGGACCATGGTATCTTTCTACTGTTCAATACTGTGCTAAACTTATGCAGCATCGTCATGGAATTGTGACTGACTTGCGGTTATTTTTCTCATTGACGTTAAATGTAATCGCAAGTCAGTCCCACTCAGATTTTGGCCATAAAATAAAAATTTCACGATATTTTTCTAATATTTTTGGGTAAACATAGATGCATTCTATCACATTGTACGTTTATTTTTAAATTTATCCCTTCAAAATAAATGTCAAATTAGAAAACTTGAAAAATCTTTGAACGCCGTTTCCTCATTTCTAGTGTTTACAGATGGGACTGACTTGCGATTATGGGCAGAGAAGGACCTGAAAAAACGTGCTGAACTTTTTGGCTCAGCTCTGGTACTCTCTTCGGTCCCAAGCTAATCGATGCACACCTCGAAACATCTGCGAACCCCTCATTTTATCTGTCAAACTTTCATAGCGAATCAAAACAAACATAGTGTAGTACTAGAATTTCGACTAGAATGGGGTACGTTAATCGATTTGCTTGGGATCAATAGGCTAGTCAAGAAGTGAGCCAATTTAAAATCGTTAGTTCTCACCGGTTGGTATAACCATAGAGGTAACTCTAAGACTAGTAGGTCCAGAAGAAACGTGCTCAACTTTTTGGCTCAGCTCTGGTACTATCTTCGGTCTCAAGCTAATCGATTCACCCCTCGAAACATAGGAAAATCAAATCACCCCTCATTTTATCTGTCAAACTTTCATAGCGAATCAAAACAAACATAGTGTAGTACTGGAATTTATAGTAGAATGGGATACGTTAATCGATTTGCTTGGGACCAATAGGCTAGTCAAGTAGTGAGCCAATTTAAAATCGTTAGTTTCGTATTGATTGTTGGTATAACCGTGTAAGAATGCATGAGAAAGCTAATACCATAGAGGTAACTCTAAGACCACAAGGTGCCGAAGAAACGTGCTCAACTTTTTGGCTCAGCTCTGATACTCTCTTCGGTCCCAACAAGAGATGAACTAGCCTAAGGCTAAAAATCTCTAAAATTAAGATTAAAAAAAATCTTCGGTCCCAAGCTACAAACATAGTGTAGTACTAGAATTTCGACTAGAAAGGGGTACGTTCATCGAAGTATATACGCAAAGTTTAGATTACCGAACACGCTCCTTCAATGTTACTCAAAAGTGAGTAAAAATCTACTCTCTTTCGGTAAAAATGTGGAACTACTCTAAAGTGAGTAAACCTATAGTTACACACTTTTGTGAAATGCTAGCATTTGTCAAAATCAGTGTAACTTGCACTCAGTTCTGATATGCGGTAAAGCAGCATATCTGAGTAATTGTTACTCAGTTCATGTAAAATTGAATTGTAAACGTTTTTCAAAATGAGTAATAAATTGTTTTGATATTGATAAAATATGAAAAATCAAAACAATAGAACAAACAAGTTTATTAAAAGATAAAATAATCTGCATTTCAATTATATCCACGACGTCCAATGTATCATCCAATCACATTTTCTAGATAACCCTCTTGTTCCTGTTCCATTTCCGGAGGATGGTTCATAATGATGTGCCGCTTCAATGTTTTTAACCGGGTGTGTAAACATCCACATTTGGAGTATTTGAACGGTAAATCAGCATTGCTGGTATTGAAATAATGATAATGTTGATTGTGAGATTTTACATGATGTGCGTGTGGTAGTGATTATCACGATATCGAGCATGTTGTTTGGTCATGTACTTTACACCGTGTTGCCAGATCTGAGTTATCCACATCCTTCAGGGCCCGAGGAAAACAACCAACGATACCCGTTAGAGATGTCTTGGCGAGCCGATATCTCGACTATTTGAATTTAATTTATGTGTTTTTAAAACGGATAGATCTGAGGATTTAGTAGTTAGTGTCATCTTGTGTTCTCCCAAGTTGTTAGCTACCCATCGGTGTACCCCCAATGTTTGTCTTTTTCACCAGAGTGTCGCTTAGTTCGAGATCAAGAACACATTGCTCTCCTTGTGTTCACAATCCCTATCCTGCCATCCATTTGTTACAATTTGTTACCCCTAACCTCGAGATAGCCGCGAGTAATCGGCCCCCACTTTACTAACGTTTGTTTGAAGTAATTTTGTAATCTAATCAATGAATATTGGCTCCGCAAAGCTACAACAAATGAGCCTAGAAAAATAAACGCATTATAAAAAAAAAATCTTTTAAATCCTAAATTCACAAGTTTAGTCCCAAAGTCCATTTGGCAGTGTTAAAATGAAATGGAATTCCTGAAAAGTGATACCACCACCATGTAAACACTTTAGTCAAGGTGTCAACAGATGTGGCGGATGTGTGGTATCTTCTAGCATGTCGACGTTCGCCACACGACTTCCGACATGTTTTATGATGCCACATCAATGGGCGCCTGGCGTGAAGAAGGTATATCACTTTTGAGTATCAAGGAAGATTTGAAAACAAAAATCGTTCGAAACGTAGTGCCTAGTCCGGGAAGCAGAACACGCTTGCAAAACAACAAATAGGTCTCAGAAAGCAGTAGGTATAGGAAATAAATTCCTTCAGCGACCGTACAACGTAAAGGCTACTTACTCATTTCGTCATCCGAACCCTCATCCTTCCACCGGTTGAAGTCCACTTTTAACCAATGTGGTTTGTTCTTATCGTTCGTCAATTTTGGCCAGTAGGATGCCTTCATGTCGGCTTTAGTGATCACAAACTCGATACAGCGGCTGGTGTTTTTACTGACAACTTTATCCGGATTGATTTTGCCATAAAAGTTGATGGTTACTTCGTAGTTTTTCTTCTCCGGTAAGCCAACACCTTTGAAATACATCGTATCTTCTGTAAATCTACGGACAAATGCTTTTTATAAGAAGAAATCCAACAAACGGGTGGTTATAATGAAACTTACTTAAAAGTAGGATCCGGACATTCCACGTTCAACGTCAAATACAGGACATCATTTCGCTGGGCCCAAAGTGCGGGTGGTGGAACACTGAAGGAAAATGATAATATTTTAAAACTCAATTTAATTAGATAAACACAACTTAAAACAAGTATGTAGTAAGTTCTCCCTCGAATTGAGGTCTAATATTACTTTCGAGATCGTTCTAGATTGTCTTGATGTAAATAAAGGTTATGAACAATGTCATGGATACGAGAAGGGGGAAGTCGGCCGTCGGTTCTTTCTTCAAAGGTCCGTAACCTTTCCCCTTACAATTTAAATCCTCGTATTTTACAGACAACTGTTATGCGCAACATTTTCTAATGAAATTTCGTGTAAAACTCTATGAGAGCACTTATCCGAGTCCAGAAAAAGTAAAAAACAGCTTAATCACCGACATAGATCGATAAAAATGGACGCCGGAAAACACGCGAATTTCTTTTGCGGTAAACTGTCCAAAGATGGCAATATTTCCTGTGCATAATAAAAACTAAACTAAACTGATACTTACGTAACTTCTGTCGACATTTTGTTACTCAATTTTTCAATAAATTAGTAAAACAGCAACTAGATTTTCTTAGATTTCTTCTCCAGCGGGTGAACGAAAGGCGTAACGAAAAATCGCTTCTTCACTGCGTCTTTTTTGCTTCTCTCGTGTGTTCTGTTTTCAGACCGACAACCACATTTTGAATAGGGGAAATTTATCCCTGCGGAAAAAACTGGAACTACTGCAAAAAGGATTTTTTTTTCTCCCGGTGCAAAAGCCCTCAGAAAATAGGGTACACTCTTAGCTACGATTGCCTAAAATTATCGGTAAAAAGTTATCGGAATTTTTTACCGATGAAAATCGTTACTTTTTACTTAAAATTGGCTATTATTTACAATAAATAAGGTAATTTTTACCGTTAATTACTGGTAATCCATGATTACCGATAATTTAGGTATGTGCACTTTTTTTGACGTAGAACTACGTCTTTGTCGACTATACTGGGGTGCAAATCAAAAAATATATGTGGTGAAGGAGTGTTAGGTTTTGAACGCTTGTAACTTTGTCATTTATAGATGAAATTAAAATCCAAATACGCCAATCGATAGGATATTACATTACGAACCTGTTGAAATAAATATTTTTCCAATTTTTGTGTAATTAAACTTTTGAAAATGTACAAATGATAATTTTATTACTGATTTCATGAAATAAGCCTTTTTCCCAAACCCAGTCATCATAAACGAATACCACTTGGTTGCACATCATTCTGCTTGAACCTGAAAAGATATAAATCAGCGCTGCTCTCATGCCACTGCTCATTACCGCTTCGGACGGCGTGGCACTAGGTCCTGCATCAAGCAGGACTAGGTTAGCGGCTAAAGGTGCATCACAGCGTATCCACCACAATGAGGAATGAGACTTGAAAAAACGTGCATTTAAAACCCCCTCCCGCTTAACAACCCCCTCCCCCTCCCACATAACAATAACCCGAAAAAGACATGGCCTTTGACGATCATTTTTTTTCGGGAAATAAATTTTAAGCAAACCCCAATAATGTATGAACAATTAATTTTTTACATGCAGAGCTAACATTTTCAAAAAAATATTGCTTAATAGGAGACATACACTCGATGAATAACCAACAACTGACTGTAAAACATATCTGGTACCTCTATATATGCAATTATAATAACATCCAAAGTCCATCCTTTTTTACAGATTCTGCACAAAAGAAACTTTTTACTCCGCCCCATTCATAAAAAACGGCGGGAAATCCTATCAGGTTCTGAACCTGAAAAGATATAAAACAGCGCTGCTGTCATGCTTTTACTCATTGTCGCTTCGGACGGCGTGGCACTTGGTCCTGTAACAAGCAGGACCAAATCAGCGGCTAAAGGTGGATCACGGCGTGACCACATTGAGGAAAATTAATGTATGTAAACTCCCTCCCCCCTTCACAACAATCTCTCCCCCCCCCCCCTCAACAACGTCTCCTGACCCCCCCCCCCACTCACCAACAACTTCTATCCTCCCCGATCATCAACCTCTCGTAACCCCCCACCTCTCAAATACCTCTCCTAAACGACCCCCCCCCCCCAACCACTCAACACAAACCCGAAAAAGACATAGGACGATCATTTTTTCCGGGAAATAAATTTTAAACAAACCACAATTATTAGTAAAAACAAGTTTTCCCCTTAATTTCTTCCCACGCTGAAACTTTCAAATTTGAACAAAAAATTGCTTGAAAGACATGTTCGATGACATCCAGTTGGTGAATTACACACAACTGACGGTGAAACATACATATCTGGTGCCTCTATATATGCAATTATATTAACATCCAAAGTCCATCCTATTTGACATATTCTGCACAAAAGAAACTTTCTGCTCCGCCCCATTCATAAAAAAAACTGTGAGAAACCCTATCAGGTTCTGAACCTGAAAAGATATAAAACAGCGCATGCGATCAGCTAGACGTTGAGAAAGCGTTTGATAATGTCTGGCACAATTGGCTTGTATACAAGCTTTGTAACTTCAACTTTCCTTTGCATCTTGTTAAAATCACCCGTAACTACCTTCAGCAAAGGTCGTTCAGGGTATCGTTGAATGGTTGCAATTCAAGCACATTTTCCATCCCAGCAGGTGTTCCGCAAGGAAGTCTGTTGGGCCCTTTGCTATACAGCATCTACACTTCCGACATTCCTCCCTTGGGTAACGGTTGCGTGTTATTTCTGTTCGCAGATGATACTGCTTTTACCGTCAAGGGAAGGATGCCTCGTGAAATAACAAACAAGCTTCAACGATGCCTTGACGCCTTTGCTGATTATGCCACCACGTGGAAAATCAAAATCAATGCTTCCAAAACCCAAACAATAATGTTCCTCCATCGGCAATCTTCCAAACTAAAACCAGCTCCCTCTTGTACTGTAATCATGGATGGCACAAGGGTTGAGTGGTCCGCCGAAGTAACCTATCTCGGGATGTTGTTTGACGAAAAGCTCCTATTCCGCTCGCATGTGGAGAAAACCGTAATCAAGTGTTCCACCTTGGTTAGGTCTCTGTATCCGCTGATTTGTCGTAGATCCCGCCTCTCAAGGGTGAACAAACTGGCTGTCTACAAACAAATCATAGCACCTGCGATCCTCTACGCAGCTCCGGTGTGGGAATCATGTGCTCAGACTCACAGGAACAAAATCCAGGTTGCTCAGAACAGAGTGCTTAGGATGATCCTTGATCGTCCCTTTGACACAAGAATTTCAGACCTCCACCAAGAGGCGAACATTCCAAAATTAGATTTCAAAATTGATGACATTAAGACTAGGTTTATGCAGAAATGCATTACATCAGAACATCCCAACAAACAATTGAGAGCTCTTATAAAACACCTGAGTTGATCAAACGTTGAATAATAGCTTCCAGAGTTGAACAAGAATGAAGTTGTATTGCCATTTGATTAAAAGTTTTCAAAGCTGTTGGAGCACTCTTAAATGATTGTTTATGTTCGGTTTAACTATATGCTTTATAAGACCTACGATAACTTTTATAGCACCTTAGTTAAACTGATTCACAAGAGTTATACAGAACGTGGAATAAACGCATCAAAACAAACAATTGGGAGCTCTTATAAAACACCTGAGTTGATCAAACGTTGAATAATAGCTTCCAGAGTTGAACAAGAATGTAGTTGTATTGCCATTTGGTTAAAACCTTCAAAAACTGCTTGGAGCACTCTTAAATGATTGTTTACGTTCGGTTAAACTGTTTGACAGGAGCCATATAGGATGTGGAATAAACGCATCAAAACAAACCATTGGGAGCTCTTATACAACACCTGAGTTGATCAAACGTTGAATAATAGCTTCCAGAGTTGTACAAGAATGTAGTTGTATTGCCATTTGGTTAAAAGCTTCAAAAACTGCTTGGAGCACTCTAAAATGATTGTTTACGTTCGGTTAAACTGTTTGACAGGAGCCATATAGGATGTGGAATAAACGCATCAAAACAAACAATTGGGAGCTCATTTACAACACCTGAGTTGATCAAACGTTGAATAATAGCTTCCAGAGTTGAACAAGAATGTAGTTGTATTGCATTTTTGGTTAGAAGCTTCAAAAGCAGCTTGGAGCACTCTTAAATGATTGTTTACGTTCGGTTTAACTATATGCTTTATAAGACCTACGATAACTTTTATAGCACCTTAGTTAAACTGATTCACAAGAGTTATACAGAACGTGGAATAAACGCATCAAAACAAACAATTGAGAGCTCTTATAAAACACCTGAGTTGATCAAACGTTGAATAATAGCTTCCAGAGTTGAACAAGAATGAAGTTGTATTGCCATTTGATTAAAAGTTTTCAAAGCTGTTGGAGCACTCTTAAATGATTGTTTACGTTCGGTTTAACTATATGCTTTATAAGACCTACGATAACTTTTATAGCACCTTAGTTAAACTGATTCACAAGAGTTATACAGAACGTGGAATAAACGCATCAAAACAAACAATTGGGAGCTCTTATAAAACACCTGAGTTGATCAAACGTTGAATAATAGCTTCCAGAGTTGAACAAGAATGTAGTTGTATTGCCATTTGGTTAAAACCTTCAAAAACTGCTTGGAGCACTCTTAAATGATTGTTTACGTTCGGTTAAACTGTTTGACAGGAGCCATATAGGATGTGGAATAAACGCATCAAAACAAACCATTGGGAGCTCTTATACAACACCTGAGTTGATCAAACGTTGAATAATAGCTTCCAGAGTTGTACAAGAATGTAGTTGTATTGCCATTTGGTTAAAAGCTTCAAAAACTGCTTGGAGCACTCTTAAATGATTGTTTACGTTCGGTTAAACTGTTTGACAGGAGCCATATAGGATGTGGAATAAACGCATCAAAACAAACAATTGGGAGCTCATTTACAACACCTGAGTTGATCAAACGTTGAATAATAGCTTCCAGAGTTGAACAAGAATGTAGTTGTATTGCATTTTTGGTTAGAAGCTTCAAAAGCAGCTTGGAGCACTCTTAAATGATTGTTTACGTTCGGTTTAACTATATGCTTTATAAGACCTACGATAACTTTTATAGCACCTTTGTTAAACTGATTGACAAGAGCTATATAGAACGAGAAATAAACGCATCAAAACAAACCATTGGGAGCTCTTATACAACACCTGAGTTGATCAAACGTTGAATAATAGCTTCCAGAGTTGTACAAGAATGTAGTTGTATTGCCATTTGGTTAAAAGCTTCAAAAACTGCTTGGAGCACTCTTAAATGATTGTTTACGTTCGGTTAAACTGTTTGACAGGAGCCATATAGGATGTGGAATAAACGCATCAAAACAAACCATTGGGAGCTCTTTTACAACACCTGAGTTGATCAAACGTTGAATAATAGCTTCCAGAGTTGAACAAGAATGTAGTTGTATTGCATTTTTGGTTAGAAGCTTCAAAAGCAGCTTGGAGCACTCTTAAATGATTGTTTACGTTCGGTTTAACTATATGCTTTATAAGACCTACGATAACTTTTATAGCACCTTAGTTAAACTGATTCACAAGAGTTATACAGAACGTGGAATAAACGCATCAAAACAAACAATTGAGAGCTCTTATAAAACACCTGAGTTGATCAAACGTTGAATAATAGCTTCCAGAGTTGAACAAGAA